TGATAAAGACACAGACATGTTTCAGGTAAAAATCCATTAAATGACACCGTTACCTGTTAAGCTTGTATGTATTATATTTTGAATAACCTGTTGAATCATCTACATTTGACTATGGTACTATATATGTGAAGAAAGGCATCAAAACCTTATTTGAGAGAGCGTAATCAGTGAATGTTTGTTTTCTTGAAATGACTGGACTGGACTGAAACTGTAGCATTAATCTGAATGTACAGTAAAGAGACGATGACCAGAGGGTTAGTTAGCATTGCAGACTCGTGCTTTACATTCAGCCCTATTGTGTCCGTTTGTCTGTGAATAACACTATATATAATCACAGACAACTCCGGGGAAACTATAAAAAAAAAAATGACTTTAGGACAATTACAGATGGGGGTGGGGGGGGAGTGAAAGAGGGAAATGCTTATTTTTACATCTGCTTGTTCAGTTTGACAAATGCTGCTTGCCGAATGAAACTTCCAAACTGTGTCGTGTCGCAGCGTCTTTACCACACACACAACACACACACACCACACACACAGCAACATGATCTTGTGTGCCGTCGTTCAGATGTCAACCCGCTGCAAACGGCTGAAATGCTGGAAGGCAGAATAGTTTAGTTTAAATGTCTGCGGGGAACGAAAAATAAACTTCTTTTCATCCATACCATTAGGTTGACAAGAAAATCCATATTATTATAGCATGAACATGATTAATTGCTGTGTTGTTTTGTAGATTGGGCGTTCCACTGAGAGTCCCATAGACTTTGTGGTGACTGACACAATAGCCGGAGGCCAGGATGGAGAGGAGACTCCCATCACGCAGAGCACCATCTCCCGTTTTGCCTGCCGAGTTGTCTGTGAGCGAAACCCGCCCTACACTGCTCGCATCTACGCGGCTGGTTTTGATTCTTCCAAAAACATCTTCCTCGGGTAATTACTATTCAGTATACCATGGGAGAGATACGGTATCTCTGTTTACTGTCTGAATGGAAGGTCGGATGTTAAATGTGTGTCTTTTCAAACTACGAGTTCTAACCACAAATGCAATTCCTTTTTTTGGCAGTGCTGTCTAAAAAGGGGGACTGACACATAGCACATGAGTTTGCATAAAGATCTCTGTTCTGTCTTGCCTACAGGAAAAAGCCGCAAAGTGGAAGAACCCTGACGGTCACATGGATGGACTAACAACCAATGGCGTGCTGGTAATGCACCCTAAGGGTGGCTTCACGGAAGAGTCAAAGCCTGGCGTATGGAGAGAGATCTCTGTTTGTGGGGATGTTTACACACTAAGAGAGACCCGCTCAGCACAGACCCCAGGCAAACTGGTCAGTAGCTACATACATACAGTAATCAATCGAGTATTACGCAGATGTTTCTCAATTCACAGATAGAATATAATTACATACAAAAGCATTCTTTATTGTTTTGCTAGGAGAAACTAAATTAGTTTCTGCTACATCACCCTTTGCAGGTGGAGATTGAGAGTAATATACTTCAGGACGGCTCCCTGGTGGATCTGTGTGGAGCCACTTTGCTGTGGCGTACTGCAGAAGGCCTCTTTCACACTCCCACCCAGAAGCATCTGGAGGCTCTCAGGCAGGAGATCAACGCAGCGCGGCCCCAGTGCCCCGTAGGTCTGAACACGCTCGCCTTCCCCAGCATGCAACGTAGCCGAGCCCTCTCCTCTCTGGAGGACAAGCAGCCTTGGGTCTACTTGGCCTGTGGCCACGTGCACGGTTACCACAACTGGGGCCACCGTTCAGAGCAGGAGCCCAACACTCAGCGAGAGTGTCCCATGTGCCGGGTGGTCGGGCCTTACGTACCACTGTGGCTGGGCTGTGAGCCAGCCTTCTACGTGGACACAGGTGCGCCCACGCATGCCTTCGTGCCATGTGGACACGTGTGTTCGGAGAAGTCGGTCAAGTACTGGGCCGAGATCCCTCTGCCCCACGGCACCCACGCCTTCCACGCTGCCTGCCCTTTCTGTGCCACCGAGCTCGGCCTCACTCAGGGCTGTTCCAAGCTAATCTTCCAGGGCCCGGTGGACTGAGCTGAAGGGTCCCACTCTGGCAGAGAAGATTAGACAGGAATGCCAACATGCTGTGAAACTGTTCAGATTATTTTGTGCTGTCTTTTGTTCATGTAAGCCAGCTGTGGAAAGGAGTGTCTTCTCAAGTTCTGGTCATATACTGTGGATTCTGCACAACAGAGAGCTATTACAGATTGTTCAGGGCCTCTTGACACTGTTTGGATGGCCACTATGGGATACAGAGATGCGGAGCACACTGAACCACCGATGCCTGGCTCCTCCAGAATGAAATACTGTCTCACCTACCGCTTTAAACAAGACTCCAGCGCTGGGCTGTTTTAAACTACAATGACTGCTGGTTTTCCATTAGAGGGCCATAGAATTTAAAGTTGTAGAATTTTATTCATGAACCAGATAACAGTTGTGTAGTTGGGTCTGTTGGGAATGAAAAGGGGGCGGGGGTTATAGTTCAATTCCTGGTGGGTCTGAGACAAAGTTTTTACAGAGCCAGACAGCTGGACTGTTGGCTGGGAGAAAAGCTAGGAGAAACTTGGGGTCTAATGGCTGACTAGTTAAGTGCTCCCTGTCTCCCTCTCTTCCCTGAACCCCTGATGGCATCTAGATCATGTAGCTGTCCGGATTTGGCTTTCATTTGCTGAACACACTTTAAGGAGGGGGAAATACTTTTTGTGTATAGAGATATAATCCAGTGCCTCAAATCCCATTTAAACTGTGGGAATATTTTTCATAAATGAGAAAAGATATTTTGTTGAGGGCAAAGGGAGAGAGATTTTTGCATACAGAAGACATAAGGAAATGATAGCCCACACGGATTCTTCTCCACATTTTTATCTGAAGAAGTATTTTATTACACTGGGGCCCTTGTACTGTTTTGTAATGTAAATGTTAATATATTTTTCTCCTGCATAAAGTGTGTGTGTGTGTGTGTGTGTGTGTGCGCGCGTGCGGGCTTTGTTTAAATCACCCTGCATCATTTCACCCCAATCCCCTTTCTATGATCTCGCCCACCACCCAAAAAACGCTACCGGAGAGAACACAGGAATTAAACCAATATCGCAGGGTTTGACAATGAATGTACTGAAATACATCGAATCCTCACTGGTGGTGCTTCAATTATACAACTTTCTCAGTGGCTGTTAAAGGTATAGGTATGCCTATTTGCAGTGAAAGACAACATTGGAGCTGTACTACCAATATGCATCAACCGTACCTGCTTCCTAGCTTGCTTGCTAGCTAGCTAGCTGTGTCCCTGCCCCACACACATGTACTGTATTCAATCTGCACTGTTGTTAGCTTTATCCCATGCTGGGTCTGATCCAATGATTTATACGCTGTCAAACCTGGGCACAGTCTCAGCAGCATCTAGAGATTATACCAAATATAAGAAGGAGCTGTTTTCTCTCCACATGCAAGATGTAACGACCACTCTCTCCAATCCAAAGTGTTTCTGTAAACAATCCTAAACCCAAACTGCTGCTATGGTGGAGTGTTGACAGCTCTGGATTACAGTCGAGGCTGTTCAGTTGCTCGCAACCAGCTCCATGGGAATAATGATATTATCGCACACCATGCCAAATTTGGAAAATTCTATTGTGTGTGTGTGTGTGTGTGTGGATGAGTCAAGCTGTCCAAAACAAAGTAGCAGATGAATTGAAACTAAAGAATCTGGGACGAATCTGTACTTTCTTCTGTGATGTTAGCTTATCAGACTGTGCCCATATGTAGAGTGTAGCTGAAGGCATTAATTCTGCCACTAATTCAAATACGATATTGAGCATTAAAATAACGAGATGTTGAGGGTTAACTGTCCTATTGTAGCCTTCAAATTTACTTCCACATTGCATTAGGATGAAATACAATCCAGGGGTGTAGCTGAGGGGCAAAATCCACCTTGATTAAGGGCTCCTGGACTTGACACAAACAAAAGACAAGATCTCAACCACAGTGGTGGACTGCCTGAGTATTTTTCTTTTTTGGTTCCCAGACAAACATACCTGGCATTCTTAAAAGTATATGCAGCATTACGCTTCACTCAGACCACAGAGCATTTCTGAATGGCTCGATTTCTTCAGATTTTATGTAACTGCCAAGCAGGGTGAAGTATTAAGCCATGTACTGTACAGTAGCATTCCTTTCCAACACTTTCAGCTCAAACACTGTGCCCATTGCTTAAGACCGTGTTCTGTAACAGCTGCAGAGTAGCTGCCTCAAACATTCCTCCTTGGTAAACATGGGTGGGGCCCTCAGTTCACCCAAGGGCTTGTTCTATGATTTTTGTCTCCAACAGGAACTCTGTACACAAGCCATAGAACGCACTGATGCTCCCAATGCCTCCTTTGCAAATAATAAAATATTTAAAAAAAAATAACTTAAAAAGTGAGTCGGTTGTCTCTGATAAAATCTGAAAGTCACGTAAAATACTCCTAGTTAAGGCTTGTGGTAATGGCTCCGTGATTTTAAAAAGGTATGTGCACATAATGGGGATTTGTTCTAGCTACTGCCTTTGAACTCCAGATGTCTCCGCTGTGTAGGCACAACATAGCAGTGATGGTTAATCACAGTTACATATGTGTTTCATCATTTCTCAGTATGAGCATTTCCCTGCTATCTTGGCCCCAAAATGGCCCTGGGTTTGATAGTTCTATCAAACATTTTTTTTTTTTTGAGATAAGGGATACATTTTTCTTGAAGTCTATATTTTATTCACATTTCGTGTTCTATCTTATCAGCCTCATCTTAATATTTACCATAGAAAATGACTGCACCAGCAAATTCCCTGGTGTTCAGTGCTGGGTGTAGTTTCCCTATGAAGCCACAAGAGGGCACTATTTCCACAACAATAGAGCTGTTGGCACTGAGCCCTCCAAGCCTGCGGCATCCAATAGCCAATAACACAGAGCAAAGAAATGAAAGTTTGATGTTTATTATGAAAGACTCTGTGTTAATACATCACAAATGTATCTGAAACCAGAGAAATTGAATGCATAAATGCCTGAAAATCCTCTATATGTGCAATTACGATACCAGAGGAGATGTATGTATGCTATATATTTAAAGTTGGACATTTACTGATTAGTCTTTAACATTCTGTATTCCTTTGCTTTTGCAAATGTTGCTAATTAATTATGCTGTTCTTAGATTTATTTCAGATTTGAATCCTGGCACCAGGCATGGCTGACACATACACACAGTTGTGAGCAATATTTAGTATTTATTTTTATGTGCATGCAAAAAGATTGCGCCATGATGATGATGACAATTTCCATCATTTATGTGGCTTCATCTCCTCTATAATAAGGGCACATGAAAGGGATTTAAATACATAACATGTCAGTTAAGCATTTGGAGAGGAATGGAGCCGTGGGATGCCTTGCTTCCTAATTAACATTTCTGCAGTAGATGTGAGATGGGTTCATATGTCTGCACACTTGCCTGTTTTTCTGAATGACAGAAGAGACACTGAAGGTGACAGCATGCTAATTTTGAGATCACTCAGTGGCTCCCCTGCCTTAAGCAGGGCAGGGTTATGCAAATAAAATGGAACGATACAATATTTTCCCCCCTGAATTAGCTTCCTGGATAAGAAAAGTAAGGTTCATGTGCTATACTGACGCTGGTCTTTGTAATATGACACAAACCTTGTTACTTCTATCATGACCTCTTTAAACCTGATTAACTTCCAGTACTTTTCACAGCCATGCAAGTCAATTTTACAGCATCATGTTTTCAGCTGCACCAGTTGCATTATAATTGTACTGAAAAATTCCTGTTTGGAGAAATAGCAGACATTTCTTTAACCAAATCCTCAGGGAGCAAAGCAACAGAGTCATTGCTTGTCCTTTTAAAACTCTACATCTTATCAGTTAATCATAAAAGTTTAGATGGTACATCACTAAATACAGTTAATAAACTCTGTATATTAAAGGGAAAATGTGTGTGAAGTACCATACAGTTGGGGGGCCAACAAGAGACTTTTTTGACTCTTAGGTCCTACAGAATGGGTAAAAATCCGAAAACAGAATCCTTCATTTCCCATAGTGCAACTCCATTGCGTCTTTGATTAGACATGTCCCTACTCCTCCTATGATGACATTGGGATTATTTTTTTTATCAACTTTGGCAAGTAATGCGTCTTTCACAAAATGAAAAGCATAGGAAGAGGAAACAGTTTCTTGCATAGTGGTAAGGGTACAATAATATTTCACACCAGGCATTACTTGCAATGCAGTGGCTTCAAAGTATTGTTTCTGCCCAGTCCAGTAGCTACTCTAACACTGCTGCCAGTCTGCTCTATGAGTTGAGAGACTTGCATTATAAACCCCAAAACATTTTAACAGCTATATATATATATATATATATATATATATTTAAAATCCCCCTCTCACCCCTTGCGGGGTGTTATGTGTCATCCTCAAGCTCGCATCCTCTACCAGAGGCCTGGGAGTTAGAGGATTCTGCACAGTATCTTAGCTGTTCCTAGGACTGCACTCTTCTGGACAGAGACCTCTGATGTTGTACCTGGAATCTGCTGTAGCCACTCTCCCAGTTTGGGGGTCACAGCCCCCAGTGCTCCGATCACCACTGGCACCACTGTTGATCTTACTTTCCACATCTTTTCTAGCTCCTCTTTCAGCCCTCGGTATTTCTCAAGCTTCTCGTGTTCCTTCTTCTTGATGTTGCTGTCGCTTGGGATTGCCACATCTATCACTGCAGACTTCTTCTGCTGTTTGTCGATCAACACAATGTCTGGTTGGTTAGCCATCACCAGTTTGTCAGTCTGGATCCCACAGGATCTTAGCTTGGTCATTCTCAACTACCTTAGGAGGTGTCTTCCATTTTGACCTTGGGACTTCCAGCCCATACTCATGGCAGATGTTCCTATACGCTATGCCAGCTACCTGGTTATGGCGTTCCATATACGCACTTCCTGCTTGCATCTTACACCGTGCTGTTATGTGCTGTACTGTCTCAGGGGCATCCTTGCACAGTCTGCACCTGGGGAGTGCCTGTTCTTGTGCCGCTATGATTAGTGCTTCTGTGCTGTCCTTTAGTCTAGCCTTTTCCAGCCACTGGTAGGATTTCTTGATATCAGCCACTTCTTCTATTTGTCTGTGGTACATGCCGTGCAGCGGCTTGTCCCTCCATGAAGGTTCTTCATCTTCCTTGTCCTCACCCTCGGGTTTCTGCTGTCTGAGGTATTCACTAAGCCCTTTATCTTTGGGGGCCATCTTCCTGATGTACTCTTGGATCTTTGTTGTTTCATTCTGGACAGTGGTCTTGACACTCACTAGCCCTCGGCCTCCCTTGCTACGCTTGGTGTACAGTCTCAGGGTGCTGGATTTGGGTTGAAACCCTCCATGCATTGTGAGGAGCTTTCTTGTCATGATGTCAGTAGCCTTTATCTCCTCCTTTGGCCAGTTTATTATACCAGTAGGGTATCTGATGACTGGCAGGGCGTATGTGTAGATGGCTCGGATCTTGTTTTTCCCATTCAGCTGACTTTTCAGGACCTGCCTTACTCTCTGTAGGTATTTGGCTGTGGCGGACTTCCTTGCTGCCTCCTCATGGTATACTAACTAACTGCACTCCATGAACACCTGGCAGCACTAATGAACCAACTGCTGATGGATGGGACCCACCAAGAATGGTTAACCCAAGGACGGACAGTCCTGATCATGAAGGATCCCCAGAAGGGAACAATCCCATCCAACTACCGGCCAATAACCTGCCTCTGCACAACATGGAAGCTCCTGTCAGGCATCATAGAGGCTAAGATGAGTAGGCACATGGCTCAATACATGGACAGGGCCCAGAAGGGAATGGGCAGTAATACTAGGGGAGCCAAGCACCAGCAACTGGTTGATAGAGCAGTCACTCGACTGCAAGACCAGGCAGACCAATCTGTGTACCGCCTGGATTGACTACAAGAATGGAATATGGAATGAAAGTCTGAATATATGGAATGGAAGTCTGAATATATTGAATGAAAGTCTGAATATATGGAATGGAAGTCTGTATATATTGAATGAAAGTCTGAATATATTGAATGAAAGTCTGAATATATTGAATGAAAGTCTGAATATATGGAATGGAAGTCTGTATATATTGAATGAAAGTCTGAATATATGGAATGAAAGTCTGAATATATTGAATGAAATCAGACGTCATTACCACATTGGCGCCATCTTGTGTTTTCGGTGTGAAGTGTGACACTGTAACACTGACTGAATCAGCAAGAAAGTGTCCAGTGTCAGCAATTTTGAGCAATGAAGAGATTATAAACACACTGGCGAATGCATGTACGAGCCAAAATACTGGACACCATATCCAGTACCTTTTTCCTGATTAAGAAATTTATTGTCTTTCATCGCGGAAGACCAAATGCAGGAAACCTCCCAGGGCAGGCAGTTCCCGTTTATCAGGCAAACGGAAATACGCCTTTAACCTCACAGGTGACCCGCACAACAGCCCCTATCTACAATCTTCGTCTGTCCACCCAAAAGGGCTCAGGACACAAACAGTAACAATAGAATTGAATGCATTTGAATTGTTGTTTAAAGAGTAAGATCCTGTGTTTAACCAGAATTAGCTGTTACATTGCTCTCTTCAAAACCACCAAACTCCATTGACAAAAACAGTAATTTTAATGTTACCGCTGCCAGCTTATTGTGTGATTTAAGCTTTTTAAAGCTTTTTGTGTGACTTTGGTGTTTAAAAGATTAGTTCGGATCCTAAGTTGTGGCACCTGTGAGATACATATATATATATATATATATACACATGTATATGTTTGTGCAAATATATATGTGCAACAACTGTCTGGCACCCAGCTGTCACATAGCAGAAGATGCCTTCAACTAGCTGTTTTAAAGGGTTCAGCTTCAGTTCTATGTGCTTCTTTGCACCCTGTTTGCCCCGAGACCCAACATGTGAAATACCACAGGTGGCTGCGGGCGGTGCGCCAAGCTATCAGCAGGACACCTTAGCTGGCAAGTTGAAGGCTGTGTGATATTTACCTCAATTACCCAGAAAGCAACTGAGGCAAATTATATGCAGATCATCATCTGTAAATAAGAGATAGTGCGTCTCACCCTCGTGTAAATTAAGTAACAGTACATACAACCCTCAGAAGCAAACAGAAGACACATTTGTCCCCCTGGTTTTTAATATAGTAAACTTGGCAGCCATTTTTTTTTACCTCACGGCAAATTGGACCCCCATGGCACGGTGGCACTATTTCTGTCTTGTGTGGTTAGTCACTATTTGTTACAGAGACTGTTTTCGACACTTACCAACACTGCATTGATATTTTCCTGTAAGTTGGGTTCACCTTTCTTTCTCCACGCCCAAGGTCAAACGCAATGTGAGCTTGTCAAACAAAATCAGCACTTTTTTGGGGTGTGTATTGTTTCTGCTTTAGCTTTCAGCAAGCTTTGCAGGGGCAAAGTTACACAATTCAAGCTGTATGCAGTGCAGTTTGAAGAGGATTATGATTATATCAGCCCTATTTACTATTTCATGTGGCTCTTGATGATACATTGTACTCAGCCTACTCAGCTTATTACTTTCTCAATGAATAACAAATGAGTTGTCAAATAAAAGGCAAATAAACACAGGCTAAAGAGAAGCTGATACACATATTTTATTAGAACATATGAGGGGAAAATAGGTTTGGAAAATGAAGCATTAAATTCAGACATTAAGAGTATCTGAGCCTCTGATGCCCTCTTTCTCTCTCATCTGCTCTTACAGAGGCACATGTGGCGTCTTGCCTACTCATCCAAACAAGGGGACAAATTACTTTAATTATAGAGTAATTGCAGTCTTGTGTTAATTAAATCTTTATCAGTTCAAGTAAGTGGATTTCTCCCCCCCTCCCCCTGCTCTGTCTAAATTTTCCACCACCACAGTCTGAGGCCATCTTTCATTCCCAGTCTTACCCGACTCTCCCTCTCTCTCACCCCTGGGTCTCACACAGACATGATTGGGATTAGCGTCATTCGTGGAAGGGGGTTGTTTTACCAACTCTGTCGGTAGCCAGCTGTTTCTTAAAAATACCATAACAAACATGATAGCACTGGCATGAGGGAGTGTCCTCCGCTGCAAAATGAGATACAAGATTTATCTTAGGTTCCTGGTGTTTGACAAAATTGAATCCTCTCATTTTAATTGCTCTCGACTAGGTGTGCTGCTCCGGGCGATTGAAGCAGGAGCTCTGTATGTTGTCCCTTGTTCTCTTCAGACTATTATGTTCCATTGTGCAAAATCCCGATTATGATTTGCTTTATCCTTGTCATCTATCTTATTTAGGATCATTTAGGTAGCCACATGTTACAAAGGAACAGCAGTGCACCCTGTTATTATGTGTGTTTGAGTCTCTTGCTTCTTGTAATGAAAACAGGATCACAGCGGAGAATTAATCTCTCTGAAGACTTCTTCACTGGTTCAAGGCCTCACTACATTTTATGGAAAATGCAGGGAATTTGACTTGTTTTGTTTGGCCAAGAATTTGATTCATAGTTTGGAATATTATTACAAATACTTGTCTTACAGTCAGAATATTGGTCCATAGTTTTCTCAGTAATAGAGAGGGGGACCGTTTTGGATGATAGGAAGTAGTGGGTCACCAGAATGACTTTATTTAGCTCTGAATGAGGTGATGAATAACTAACTTTATTATCTATTATACATTTGTCATTAGTGCTAATAAATCAACATTTGCAAATCAAAATCATTATAGTATTGTCTGCCGTATCATATTTTGTGATTTGTTATATTTCTCATTACTGTAACTTTTTTCAACCTAGAAAGAGTCTATCTGGCAGTGCCTGCGTCACACTTGCCCAAATGCAAACACCACCATTTTTGAGCTTTTAACATATACAGTGTGTGGATTCTGGCTTGTGGACACTCTCTGCGAGCAACTGTTTAGTAGTGAGAATGTTTATGGGACGATGAATGGGTGTAATATGGCTGTGAAGCAGATTCAAAAGGGCTTAACTGGATTACACCTCATTTCAAGGATGCTTAAGGTAAGATTAAAACAGATATGTGGTAAGTGAGGAAAATACAAAATCAAATAGATTGAATTTCACTCAGCAGTTTCGTAAGCCACTTGCTCATGCATGTGTGTTTTTGTGAGGTTCCGAGTTTAAAAAAAAATCAACAACAATCAGGGACGCATTTCTATGCGAGACAATATGTGAGATTGTTAGTGTAAAAAGGATTCAGCAAACGGAAACATGCGCACATTTCAACAGTTTTGCTCTGTTGGACCGTCACAATTCACAATTAATGCCCTTTCTTATCTCATGCTACAAATCCCCAGAGCTGGAACATTAGAAGTCTCTAATCACGCACACTGGAAACACACTGACTGTGTGTCCATGCACTCTAACACCACACACACATTCACACACACCTCACATACAATCTGAAAAGATAATGAATTTAATACCACTGCTATTACAGTCAACTAATGTTTGTTAATAGCTTGGTGCCATATGGAACAAGGGCCTCAACCATGTGGGTAATTCCTCTGTTTGGACAAGTTGTCAATGAAAAGGCCTTGCATTTTCTGGATGCATGGGGATCGGGCTAGGCGTGAGGTTGCTGGAGGATGTGCTTAATCCAGAGGGCTCTCTAATGATTCTTCTGTGCCTGGAATAGGAGTGACAGGCCTCTGTGAATATACTCACTGTGTGTTTTATCTTTCCTATCAGAGCTGAAATATGCGTTCATATTAACACTCCATTGAGCATTTGTGCATATGCTGTTCAATTTGGTTGGGTGCAAGACTTTGGTTCTCCATGTGGCGGGGGCTAATGGAAGTGGTGGTTTTAGAGACTTTATGACGTGCCTGATTACAACCCCCCCTCCCCTCCTGCACATCCCCCAAATTCACTCCATCTCCTCCCCATATCCCTCTGGCAGCACTGCAGCCCAGCGGATAACCAAGCGTGGATTAGCAGTGACATCACACTGAAGAGATGGCTGAGCCCAAGTGTGAGGAAGGGTGAGTGCTTGGGTGTGTGTGTCGGATGGGTGTGAGCGTCATGTGTGTGTTCAAGACTGATTAGACGATGAGGGTGGTGGTGAGAGGGAAGCGAGGATTAGAGAGCCATCCGAGAGTTGGCTAGGTGCTGACACCACTCCACCTCACCAAGGGCTCAATTTACTGAGGGATCAGACTCATTTATGGTGGGCTGGGATTATTATCAGTTCAATAGGGCAATTTCTTTATTACAGTCACCCTTCAACCTGTGAAATACGGACACTTGTGAGACATCTATGGGTGCATGTATCTTGTTTCAGTTATAATCTAGTGCTTTTCTGCGACACTTAATTTTGTATTAGCAGCCAAAACTAGTATGATCGTGTTCAAATGTAGTATTACTCTTACTACGAGACCCAGAGTCTGCTCGCTGCCAGTGCACCACAAAAAAACTGTCTTTTCTTTGTTTTGAGAAAAGGCTGGCCACAATAAAACATGTAATCCATCTGTCTACTTCAACTCCTGGGAGTTTAAAGAGCGCTACGGTGGAGCTTTTTCTTTTTTTAAAGGCTCCAAACCGGGTAAGACAGGCAGCTATGTTTGAGTTTGGGTTTACCTGGAATGTCAACAATCTTTCGCTGGCCCTCTGTATTGAACCGCTTGTAATGCATTGAGCGTCACCAAATTCTTCCACAGCACAGTCCACTGAGAAAACAGGTTTCGGCTGCATCTACAACAACAGAACAATAGCGAATAAAATGTAGGACAGGACACATTTAGTTGCAGCCAAATGTGAAGGAACAGAGGCTGCGCCATTGAGTCAGGTTTACTAACTTGAATAAGATCTATTAGCCACTTTCACACCTTATACACATAAGGTAGGCACAAAGACATAATCATGATTTATAATAAAGATTGGATGTTCAAATTTTGAAAGATCTTTTTAAAAAAATCTCACTACAAGTAGCTTTTATTTGTGGCTCCTGATTGTATCACATATCTTCTTCAGCAGATGGATTTGTCCACTTGTGAAAATGTGGATGTTAAAATTTCTATTCCTCTGTGGACCTTAAGGACTTGATGTTGTCCATAAAAGTTTAGATTTAGAGTTAATTCTTGACACTGAAAAAGCAGTTGGCAAAACTTATTATTTTATTATTAGTACATAATAATCATAATCACTGGGGCAGTGATGGAACCCCTCTGGGGTGGGAGACTGGCGTTCGAGTGCCAGCAATTTGGATAAAAGCGTCACCTAAATGAATGTAATCATTTCATATTTGACTGCCGATCCCTAGCACACATCTGTATTATACCTGAAAAAAACACAAGCACATTTATAAAGAATAAAATAAAGAAAGGCTAGTATTATTAATTATTTTAGTTATGTTCAGATGAATTTACACACAGTATCCTGTGTGGCCAACAGATGCAGACCCTCCCTCAGTCAGCCATGTGAACAGAAGCGATGAGAGAGATCTCAGCCTTTCATTCCAAGTCTCACAGTTTCACAGGCAACACGTCCGAGGAAAAACACTTGTCTTCCACCGCCACAATCAACGTTAATTGTTATATTATCCAGAGACAATATAAATCACAACTAGCTCGATGGCTACTGTAACTTTTAGGGATGGCGCTTCCGATAGTATCGCGAGTTTATCTCGTTGGCGAGAATCAGGCTGCCACTTCCCGGGAACAGAAACGGTTCAATTGAACCAACTGTCGAGCCTGCGCAAATAAAGTTAAGTTAAATATGTACTTGGTGTCATATTAACTATACTTCAGCTCTTGCTTAACATCGGTTATCAGGTTAACTTAGTTTACGGTTCTATTTAAATGTAATGTGTGGACGCTAACGTTTGCTAGCCCGCTAGTTAGTCGACATTAGCAGAACTCTCGGTATTTATCCAGAAAGAAAAAATGGCTGCGGAGGAGAGGACAAGCTGGATACTGACATGTGCTACGGTCGCTTTTGTCGCCGCTCTGTATGTGCCCTGTGTGCAGAGGACTGTCCCCGGTGGAGACTCAGGTTGGTGCTAGCCACCTAGCTAATGCTCATCTGGTCATGTGGTTTTGTTGTGTTGCGGGGCAGCCAATCGTGTGGCGCCTTGTTTGCGTCGCCGCTGCAATGAACGGGTGCTGTCCGTGGTACTGCAGGTACCTCAAACATGTGCCAACATGCTTGCTTGAGAATAACATACTTAAACAGTGATATGTTGATTTTAATATACACACTGATTGACTTACGAAATCTAAGACACCATCTTTCAAAAGGTCCACCATTAATAGTTTTAAATTCACCTGCAAGACTACCTGCAGTCTACTCTGTTGAATGGTTCAGCGTTAAGGTAGAATTGAATGTAAAAGCATTCGAGATAATGACTTTTGGAGGAACATTTCTAACAAATAAAAAGATCTCTAAGGTATTATGTGTATCATGTGCAATCAGTATAATAAAAAAAACAATGGTAAAGTTTCCCCATTATGTTGTATTCAATATTTTTTATTGTTTTTACTGTGTTCATGTGAGACAAAGACTGATTTCCTTCCCTGTTGAGACAACTCAGTTTATTTATTTTATTTTATGAATGAGCTTTGAAAAGGTCTTGAAAGTTCTTGCAGTGTATTTGATTTCATTTCATTTCTAGATAATGCTTTTAGAAGGAATTCAGTGTTACTTTTGACACTAGAAATGATCTGAGAAGAGAGGTTTCTTTTAAATCTAAAAATATTTTAATGATGGCAGTCAGGATCGAAAACAAATGTGGCCCAATGCATTAACATGAGTTTATTCTATGATCATTATCACAATATTAACTTTGCCCATTTGACCCACTCCTAATTTCCATTACCTGCACTGAAATAAATGTAAATACTCCGTATTTGTATAGCGCCTTTCTAGTCTTTTCATTCACCATTCATACACTGGCGGAACAGCCGCCAAAGGCAATTTGGGGTTCAGTATCTTGCCCAAGGACACTTCGACATGCAGCTTGGAGGTGCTGGGGATTGAACCGCCGACCTTCCGATTAACGGGCAACCCACTCTCACTCCTGAGCCACAGCAGTTATTCATAAAGTTATTAATAGATTATTATTTATTAAATAAAAAATGTCATCCTTTTACCTATATGCAATCATTCTCCTTTTGCTTTGTGTCTTCAGAAGCCAAGAGAAAAAAAATTGTAGAACAACCAAGGCGGGCAATACCGACACCATTTGTAATGACAAAGTATTTTTTACAGCCACTGACTTTATAAAATAGTATGTGGTGTTTGTTTAAATTAAATAACGTGTGTGTGCATACCTTTAATTTGCACTCTTCTGTAACAAGGTTTAACAGTGGACCCACATGTATTTCACTCAGTACCTTCCTATGTTGTAGGCCAATGTGTATTCCAACATTCTTGTAATGCAGTTTATGAAGGACTGCCTTGTACAATTACAAACAGTGTTTAGAAGTGATAGCTAGGTTACAAACTTGTAAATGTGGCGTGAAGGCTCTGCTTGTTATGTTTGCACTGCTCTGGCATACACGCTGCTGTGGTGGTGGAATGCACATTTTGCAAAATGAAAGCATATGAAAAGCTTGGCCAGATATGAGCGAGCAGAGACGAGGAGAGAGCAGGCAATTGGAGCGCTGAGTAGCCCTGCTGGTTGTGCTGCTGTCTAGCGAACGGGGCCTTTGAAAAAATGGCCAGCCCCTTCTCCACAGTGTTTAGGGACGGTGCAGGATGCCCGCTCTGATAGTGCCAGCTGAACACCCTTCCGAATTCTCCAGGTCTCCGTCTCTGTGTCCTAATCTCTTTAGGTGTGATGTGCCCTGGAGAGGCTTGAGCACAGCCCCGCGGGTACGCTGTTGTTTAGGAATGTGGAGTGTGGAAATGATGGGGATTATGGGAAGACTGGTGTGGGTGCCCATGCTCCACTATCACAAAGACTCTTGGCACCCATGCTGCTACCCGGTTGAGTCAATATTTTCCCTTTTTAGTACTGGGGCTGCAGAACTGCGTCTCTGTGGCACTGAGATGGATTTTTTTGGCTCAATATTAGTTTGAGTTTTTCTGCGTTGAATGGTGTAAAAGTGTGCCACTACTGAGGGAAAATGAGTGAAATTGAGAAACCGATGAGGGATGAGAAAGTGTGATGTAAAAATGATGGCAGGTAGCTGGCGGCTCATGCCAGGTGAAATAGAGCTGTGAAAACATTTAAGCTGTGCAGGTGGAGGAGTTCTGACTTCATGGTCCATTAGACTGATAAGAGTTGGGGCTCCTCATGTGGCAGAAATTTAGGCATAATAATTCACTGTATCGGCAAGGTTGCAAAATTCGTGATGTAGCCAATGCCATCTGAAATACAGCTGTTCTGTTCCATAATGGTTGGTGCTGCAATGGGGCCCATGTTCTTGCTCTTTAAATGTTTATTTTGAATATGTAAAAACACTTAAATAACCAGCCATACTCTGTTGCCATTTTTAATGTTTGCTTAAAAAAATAATTAAAAACCCCTTTACCTTTTTAATGTGATTTGTTTCCTCGGCTATATTTATGGATCTATCAGGCATCCTACATAGCTTGTATGCAGGTGAAGTAATAGACTAATTATTCTTTCAGTGCTGGTGCAGGAAACAAGGTCACTGCTGTTAATTTGCTTTTTTCGGATGGAGGAGTTGACTACCTAAATGGTACCAGTAGAGGGAGCTGTCTTGAACCCAAAACATTTATCACTGTCATTTAATCTGAACCAAATTTCAATTTTCATGAGTGGGAGATGCAAACATTGGGTGAGAAATCAGTATAATTTGAAACGCTCTGGGTGTATTCTGGCACAAATGGGTTTGTGCCCAGATACATTAAAGCTTCCAAATGCTTTTAGGGGTTTTCTTTCACTTTGTGCTGCGCCTCACACAGAGCTTGTCAAAAAAATTGTGCAGCGGCTCTTATTTTACAGCTTACCTCATTCTGTGACTGTCACCAACGTTGCCTTTCTGTTTGTGCCCAACGGACTAAAGGAGACATTGAGACACTGGGAGTGTGGGAGCAGGAAAGAGGCATGTAGAGCGGCAGAGAAGAAAGAGGAAGGGAAAGGACCCTGGTGCATGGGGAGGGATGGGACTGGAAGCATTATTCTCAGATAAGCATATGTGTGTCTTTGTGTGACAGAGCGTTGGAGAAGGAGTCTAATGGTGTGTGGTGTGTGTGTGTGTGTGTGTGTGTGTGTGTGTGTGTGTTTATATCTATGTGTGTGCTGGAGGAAAGGAGGTAGGCATCAGGGGAGAAGCGAGAGATGAAGAGAATGAGCATGCCGCTTAGGAAATGTCACACTGGGAAGATTTGTAGGTTTTGATCCTGGCAAATTAATGCAAAACCCCAGTGCAAGTATTTGATTTGGGAAAACTTTGGGAGCAGACTTGTCTCTTAATAATAATTATTGGGTTTACATTAATTTCCTCCCCTATTCTCTTCCACAGGAGAGCTGATCACCACTGCTTGTGAGCTGGGGGTAAGTATTAGCTGTATTGTTTAATCAATTCACTCATTAACTCTTATAAGCATTAAGGAAGTTTAATTAAGCATGGGCAGAAAGCAGATTAATTTACTTTCAGTCCACAGGTTTCCCCCCTCTGTTCTATACACTTATTTTACTAAGTTGCAAGTAGAGAATGCTATAATTTGCAACCCGTTTTTCAAATCCAATTAAAGTCAATGGTAAGGCGATGGCTTTTGTAGGCTTTGCCTTATGTACGGTATAGGCTTATTATATCCACCCTCTTTTTTTGTGTGTGTGTAAGCCGCGAAGAATGAACTAAATCGGGTTAACAGTTATAATAAGTTTTATTATTAATAAAGTTTATTACGCCGCTGTGATCCTTTAGGAGGCTGTGCTGTGTCGGTGTCACTATGCCAGTAATCCTGCCGTTAGTGCTGCAGTCCGTGTGGCCTGCCTCTCTGCCTTTCAGGCCTCCCCAGGGCCTTGCAGGCCGTCCCTGGGCCCCAGGCTGCCTGCCCCCCCTTCTGATCCCCAGAGCTCTAGAGTTCTGCTTTGCCATGGTCCCTGTGGCCTTTGTCCCTCGGCTGTCCTCTTGCTGCACGTCTGTCCACTCAGTCGGCCACACAGTCTTCTCCACGTGCTCCACATCCTCTTAAGTGATGCTCATTTTGGTGGGATACCTACCTGTCTGGTGCTAACTTAGTTCAACAAGTCCGCTGAGTCGCTGTCTGTTTCTTTCTTCTCTTACTTGCTTCTTCTCTTTTGCCCCTTTGACTTCTCTTGACCTACATGCTCCATCCTCACCGTCCTATGGGTGAAGTTGTTCTGTGTGAACATAACCAAGGAGTGCTGTGTCTGAGTTGACCGCTGAGGTAGTTACACTCTCACTTTCAGTTCTGTGTTCTTTTGAAGAGCTGCCCTTTCTGCCTGCATGCTGGGGTTATCAGTGCCAGGGAATGAGCCTGTGTTAATGACTGAGCCCTTATCTGGGTGGAGGAGACTTAGCGGCTAATTGCTGTGATTGCCGAGATCCCCAGGCGAGAATGACTGCGGCTCGGAGGTGGTTTGGGGGCCAGGGCTGGCGAGCACCACGTGCTCTACCACGGGCTCCGGGGAGATGCACTGTCCTTGGGAAGAGGCCAGAGGAACAGAAAAGGGAGGAAGAGAGGGAGAGGAGGGCCTGGTATCATAGCAGAGTCAGTTTGCGGTCATGCCTGGCAGGATCTGTCTGCTTCTTCCATCACTGCAGCTCTACAGTGAACCACTGCTTGGATCTACTGAGGGCAGAAGAGCAACTAGATTTCCCCACTCAGTCAGAAGGGGCTTGTAACTACTAACACATTCATAATGCTCCTTAACACCATCTGCTTTACTATTGCTTAGTGGTCACCTCCTATATTCTCTCTAGCTTTTGAATTTGTGCTTTTTTTCTCCAGTTATTTTTAAAACAAAGTAAATCTTTGCTATCACCATCTTAGCCTGCTATCCACTCAAATAATGAATTAAGCATACCTTGTTTTATGTGCTCTAGATTTGGATTTCATACTTTTCATGTCATTTTGTTTGTAGGTGGCCCATCCTCCAGGA